CTCCACATATCCACTCAGCTGTCAAATGTTGTCATTTCTATCTCTATGATAATTTTCTTATATGTCCACTTCTCTCTACTTACCCAGTCAACACTGTGGTAATGATTATCTTTAGCATCTCCTTCCTGTACTATTTCAATAGGCTCCTATTTGTTCTACCCATATCAAAGTTTCTTCCCTTTCCCATCCTTCCTCCCCATAGCTGCCAAACTGATTTTCCTAAATCCAAATCTGACCATGTCACTCTCTTCTTACTCAATAAATTTTAGTGGTTTCCTATTTACCTTCAGCATTAAACATAAATTACTCTGTTTGGCATTTAAAGCCTTTCACCACTTTATCCCAACTTACATTTTCATCCTTATCACCAATATACTCACCCTACAGTTCAGCCAAGTTGGCCTTCCTGTATTAAATCTCACATTTTCATAGTTTTTCACAGGCAGCCCCCTTGCCTGGTACATAGCTCTTCCTTACCTCTTTCTCTCAAAATCCCTAGCTTCCTTCAAAATTCTACTCAAGCTCCCATCTTCTACACAAGGCCTGTTTTGACCCCATCTCACATCACTGCCTCCCTTTCAAAATCAATTTTTATCTATTCTGTTTATCTATATACGTACCTTCAGGAGAGAATGTATGCTTCCTATACAAATGGGTTGTTTTCATGTGTTTCTTGGTATATCTCCAGTGTCTAGCAGAGTATGTAGCATACAGGTGGTGCTTGGCCTGTGTTTTTAAATTATGCTAGATTATGCATTCTGAATGTGCATTTCTAACATTCAGAGGAAATAATGCGAAGTCAAGCAGAAAGATTTGATTCCCCAACAGAGTAAAACAAATATCAATCATGTGCTTGGAACAGCAAAGATTATTTAGAGATTTATATTACATCTAGGGGCAGCTGGATGACTTAGTTGTTAGACCCCTGAGCCTGGAGTCATAAAGACTGGAGTTCAAATCCAGCTTCGTATACTGATTAGCTGTGTGATCCTGAGCAAATCATTTAACACCTGTCTGCCTCACTTTCCTCATCTGCAAAATGAGGATAATAACAGCACCTCAAGGTTCGTGAGAAGACCAATGAGATAGTATATATAAAGTACTTAGCAAACCTTAAAATGCTGTAAAAAAGCTAGCTTATTATTATTGTTATTACAATCATATATAAAGTATAACCTCCATCCTTAAAGAGTTTATCCTCTAATAGGATAAAACAAAGCATCCATATGAATCACTATAAGACAAATTAGAAATACATGCAAAGGATATCTAAAGAGTTATGAAAAATTTGAGGAGGGTGAAAGGTCACTTCCAAGGGGAAATGGGAGGAAGCAAGATCTGTCAAGAAGTGGAGTAATATGAATTAGACCTTGAAGAAAAGGAAGAGGAATTTCAAAAGGATGAGAGTGGGGGTATGAAGGAAAAGTCCTTTCAAAGAATCATAGATTTAGAGCTGAAAAGAATCTGAAAATGACAATAATTTATTTATAGCATTTATACAGCTCTTCAAGTTTTACCAACAGTTTGCATGTTATGTCATTTAATCCTCACAAATAACTGTGAGATGGGAGAAGGAGAAGGAAATAGGCATTTTTTATATAGTGCCTACTATTTGCTAGGTACTGTAACAAGTGCTTTACAAATAAACTTTCATTTGATCCTTACAACCACGTTGGAAACTATTCTCATTTTATAGTTGCGGAAACTGAGGCAGTTAAGTGACTTGTCCAGGGTAACACAAGCTGGATTTGAACTCAGGTCTTCCTGACTCTGGGCCCAGTGCTCTATCCACTGAGCTATCTCACCTCACATCTTTGAGGTGTGGTAATTGAGTTCAGAGTAATGAGCAGAAAGTAAATGGGTGACCTATAACACCTCCATGGAATTCCAGATTCAGTAACAGAAGGTTCAATGGGCTTTTTAAAAATTCTAAGCGTACTACCAACGCTAGAGCACTAAAATAGATTTTCCATAAGCTAAGTGAAAAAGTTCAGTCCAGTCAATAATCATTAACATAGTGCACACTATGTGCCAGGTACTATGAATGCTAAGGTCTGGGGATACAAAGAGAGGGGTGAAAAAACAAAAACAATCTCTGCTCTCAAGAAGCTCACAGTCTAATAGAGGAGACAGCATGCAAACAGCTATGTGCAAATAAGCTAGAAAAGATAAGGCTCTTTTTTGTATTTGTAATCCCTACCTGCCCTTAAAAGACTTAAAAAATGTATAGGGGCCTGGTTCCAAAGGGAACTAAATCCACAGCCAGATAGCTAATAAGGAATGAAGAAATACAATGGAAAGAGATGAGAAGGGACTGATCATTTATTCAATGACTATTGTGTGCCAGACACTGTACTAAGCACTTTTTTACAAATATTATTTCACTTGATCCTCACAACATCCCTGCTAAATAGCCAACAAGGAATGAAGAAAATATACCAGGAAGGGTATGAATATGTATATAGCACCTACTCTGTGCTTGACACTGTGCTGACATACTGAGGTTTGCATATGTTACTCATTTGATCCTTACAACAACCCTTGGTGCCCCATTTTACAGTTGAGGAAACTGAGGCAGATAGAGATTAAGTAACTTGTCCACAGTCTCACAGCTACTAAGTATCTTAGGCAGGATTCAAACTTAGGTCTTTTTGATTCCTAGTCTAGGGCACTATCCACGGTGCCACCAGCTGCCTCTGACATGGACATGGTATATACAAGTTATGATACATAGCAAGCAAAAAGCTGGCCTAAAGCCATTTTTATTTAGGATAGCATTGCAAAGTTGCAGGGAAAACAAATGATGCAAAAGTGATCTTGAAGAAATTATGTGGAATGAGATGATTACTCTATGCCTACATACCTGTGATTTCAGAAATGAGTATTATCTTATTGAACGTAACTTTGACTCTGCATGTCAGATAATCAGAATTACCATTCTACCTGTAAATAGCTGTAAATGCTTCTGTAAACACAGACCTGAAATTTAGACAGAAGTTATTTATTTTCCTGGGAGTCATTCAGCAGTAATAATCATTTCTATTTATTTGCAAATTATGTGATCTTTTGGTATAATCTTCCAGTAAGGTCCTACCTGCTTTGACAACACATCATGACCTGAAGGTGATACCCTGAAGAAGACAAATCTGGCAGGCCTAGAATGGGAGCTCTGTGATAGACTAGGTGTCTAGCTAGGACCAGTATAGCTAATTCTGGACAGCCTTCTCACTAGGCAGCCTAGAAAGTTATATACATTTCTTGGCTAAAAGGATTTTTGAACACCATCTACCAAAATCATAGAGGAGTGCAATCTGCATCTATTGGTAAAGGAAACACATCACTGAGACTTCAGTGGTTTTTGACATGTTGGTTTTATCATCAATTTTTATTAAGAATTCTGTTATTTTAAAGATTTGTGCATTTTATGTTTTGGGAGATCCAGAGAGCACAGTAAACTTATTTTAAAGCACTGATTTAATTCAAGACTTCTTTATTGGAGAAAATGAAAAAAAGAAAAACATTGTATTACTCTGGTTTCCAAGGCACAAGGAGGAAAGAAGTCAGAATGCTTTTCAATTGAACAAAGGAAGTCACCACACTGAGTGGCTTATTTGCAGAAATCAAATGTGTAGTAAACAAAAGTCACAAGATCAAAGTGAGATGTCTTTGATGCCACATGCCATTAAAACTGAACTCAACTAATAAGAAAACTGATTTTTTTTTTTACTTCTTAATTTCTTTGCAGAAAACTCATCATTCCTTTGGCACCAATATAAACCCCAAGTAAAAGTTTACAGTATTTCAGAGAACTAAGCTGTGCCTTCAGGGATATAAACAACTCCACACAGAAAAGAATGTTAAGGTGAAAAAATATATCTACAATTGGACAAACAGATTATAAGTCTTACTGGTACTGACTTAGGAATCTGTGCCTTGTCCCTTGGTCAAGTCTGCCCAAGGTTGTCTTTAAAAAAAAATTACATTGTCCAAGTATATCTATTCTAAGTTATCAAATAGGTTTCCAAGCACTTCTAAAATATTGAGCATAAAAATACCAAAATACTCTCATTATTTATTTTCTCATTGCCTAACCACGAGGTTGTTTATCCCTACACAGCTGGGGAAATGCCAGATGTGCCTTCCTTCCCTTTTTTGTTTAAAACACACATACATACATACATACACACATACACACGCAGAGAAAGCTCGCTCTTTTTACAACCCAGAAATATACTGGACAATTCTAAGAAATCTACTCTAACCCTTAGCAATAAAAGCGATGAGTTTTTTTGTTGTTTTTTTTTTTTGTTTAAGTCTTGAAGCTAAAGTGTATAACAAAATAACATCACATGAAGCAGTTTCAATTTTTATAACTAGCAGCTAGTTAAGATTGGCTACATAAAAGTTGAACTTTCAGTTGCAATGAGGAAAGGCAATCAACAATATTACTATCTTAAATGAAGAAGCCTAATCAGTTGAAACAGTTAAAAAAAAAAGAATTCAGTTGTGTATTGCTATGTTGCTAGATTGCACACAAAACCACAAATAGCTTTTTCATGCTCCCTAAGTTTGTCGCCGAAAAGAACTATAGAACGTCTGGCTTAAGTTTTTCCCCAAGCTTTTGCGTGAATGAGTTCATTTCTGCTTTACCCAAATCAAATTATGTTCAGAAACAACTCTAATACCCAATCGAGCAAGTCATCTTTCCCCCAAAAGGGAGTCTGTACCTTTAAGGCAAAAAATCGGCTATAACTCCCCCCAAAGGCATTCTACTTTTCTTTGACAAAGAATTGAGGATAGCTTCCCAAATCGGCTCACGGATAAAATTTAATAGGTCAGAGGAAAATGAGCCTGGTGAAGTAATGTCGTTGCCCTCAATTTTACATTTGCTTAAGTTCGAGAAAACAAAACCGTTTGTAAAGAGAGAGAGAGAGCTACATCTGGCTGGCCAGCCCCGCCGGACAGACAGCTGGAGGAAAGAGGCTTCTCCCTCTACTCACCACTAGAACGTTGTTCAGACAGCGTGGAGACTGAGGTCTGGCCCATCTCTGCACGTTAGCCGGCCAGGGGCCAGCAATCATGCAGTTCTCTTGGTCCTTTGGTCATGTATTCTTTCCCCGATGGGCTTCCGAAGGTTCATTTCACCTTCCACGTAATGCGCTTTCTGGTCTGAGCTCCTCCGGCACCTCCCGCCGGCCCCTCACGCTTTTCTGAAAGTCCACCTCCTGTTGCAACCCAGCTCCGCTGTTCCTGTTCCACTGAATGCCTGTCATTCCTCTATGCAGATTACCCGAGGTCAAAGGTCGTAGGGAGGGAGTCCCTAGCTGGTACAACTAAACCAGAGTTTGCTCACAGACCAGGACCCTCCCCTTTAACACAAAGGGTTCCAAGTTAACTGATCCTATAAGGCTTGATTGAAAAGAAATTGAAGTACTTAGTCATGGTACTTAAGTTTAACAAGATATGTTTTTTTTCCCTAAAGTTCTTATAGCCCTTGGTGTCCCCCTCCTCTATTTATTATGCAATATTACGGAGAGGTTAAGGAATTCCCTCTTTTTTTTCTGGCTGTGTTTTTCTCACTTAAAAAAAAAAAGTATTTCCCTTTAAAAATGCTGGGGGGAAAAACTGCCTCTTTTAAGGAGTAACCATCCAGTATCTGAGTCAGGATTGGAGCAAATATGATTGGGCTGGGAGAGAGAGACTAGGTGAGGCTAACAAGTTAACTCACCTAGTTTTCAGCACCTAAAAATGAAATCTTTGCTTCTCCTATATCTTATAAGGTACACTAATGAGATACTAAGACTAATTTACATTTCTAGAATATTTAAGAGTTTTACAAAGCACTTTCCTCAAAAATAATCCTCTGAAGTCAGTAGTGCAAGTATAATGACCACTATGTAACAGACTAGGAAATTGAGGTTCATTAAGGGTAAATGACTTCCCTAGGATCATGCAACAGAGCCAGCACTGAAAGTCATGTTTCTCCTGACTCCAGTGTTCTTGCCATTATACCACATTGCCTCTTGGAAGAAAGACTTAATGTGCTTCAAAATATTCTTGGGGGGGAACTATTTTCAAATAGTTTAATACCAGCATTGTATGTAATTTAAAAAATAAAAAAACCTAGAAACAACTAAAAATCCAACAATAAATGAATGGTTAAAAAAAAAAACCTGGGGCATGTTAAAGTAATTGAATGGTATAATGCAATGAAGATTGATAAGTAGGAGAAATGCAAAGAAATTTTAAAAGACCTTTAGCAAATAATATGAAGCAAAAAAAAAAAGAATTAGAAAAATGATGTACTAGCTACATATATAAAGAAAAGTAAACTAGACTGAAAGGACAAAGAATTGTGATGGGAATTGAAGAGACTGAAATACTGTTAAAATAGTCACTAAGCAAAGTTTAGGCTGCACAGTAGTAGATAAGAGTGCTGGGTCTGGAGTCAGGAAGACCTGAGTCAACTCTGGGCAAGTCACTTAACCCTGTTTGCTTTAGTTTCCTCATTTGTCAAATGAGTTGGAGAAGAAAATGGCAAACCATTCCAATGTCTTTGCCAATAAATGGGGTCACAAAAAAATCAGTCATGATTGAACAACAACAAGCAAAATTTAGTTTTTTTAGGTTGATTTTAATATAGCTTTCAATATTTTCTCATTTGAAAGAATACAAGAAAATACTTGAACAAAAGAGAAAAAAATAAGCAGAACTGTATATTTTAAAATAGGAACTTGACCTAAAACATTGAACTAATGAATGGAGAGCTATATCTGCCCATGATTTCCACTGTGATTATTGATTAGGTAGTAATCATGTTCCCACTACTAAACAGAAAGAAGAATTAATCTCTTAAAAATATGTGATAAACTGTGATTAAAAGAGACAATGTGCATGAAAAATACAGCATATATTAGTAGTTGTCTGGCACCCTAAAACTATGTATTATTTTATTATATTATATCACATATGGTATTATTAATATGTTATGATTTTTCTTGATTCAAGCCATTAAGAAATTTACGTAATTGTAGAAAATACAAGAGAAAAATAGTCTATAAATAAATCCTAAATTTGCCTAATATTTCTGCTAATCAAAGTAAAAAAGAGCTCTGTTTTGTTTTGCCAAGCATAGCTGTCTTGAAAAATACCTTCCCTGTTTTTTCTTAGCTGTATCTATATGAAGCAAAGTGAAAAGATAAGCCAAATTTATCCAGCTAAATCAGGCCAAAATAACCTGCCTCCTTTTGTGATAAAGGCATTTTTTTCCCCATTGAGTTTTCAAGTTGTCTATCAATAAGATCAACTTTAAAAAGTTTGATCAATTATTCACTTCACTTTGCTTTGGCAAGCTCAGATTGAAGGTCCTCTGCCACTTTTGATCAACTTGAGGAATTAGCCCAGATGTGAGTTCCAGACTAGGCAATCATTTTATCTCAGTCTCAACCTATGTACATGATAGGCATCTCCTTCTGGGCAAAGAGCTATATTTCAGAGCACCTGACTGTTCCCAAAGAACTCCAACACTACACTAGAAGGATTGAAAGTGCTTCCTATTTCTATTCTCATTAATTTGACTTAATTGTGGGGGCAGTGGAGGGAGAGGGACCTGGATCTTTGATTTCATCTATGTAAAGAATTCGGCAGCTTGTCTGCAACTTTGCAGTCTTAGAGAGCTTACCTTAGAGTGGTTAAGTAACTTGTCTATCTATAAGTCAGCCATTAAGCATTTACTAAGAGCCTACTGTGCACCAGGCACTGTCCTAAGTTCTGGAGCTACAACAACAACAACAATGACAGTGAAGTACTAATTAGTTTCCTTTTATAGGCTCTACAACTATTGTATAAACTTCAAAATCCCATCTTTTATAGGAAACTTTTCTCAGTCCTTTTTAATTCTAATGCCTTCCTTCTGTTAATTATTTCCTATTCATGTTGTATGTAGTTTGTTTATGCAGATTTGTTTACTTGTTACTCCCCTACTAGACTTCAAGCTCCTTGAGGGCAGGGATTGTGTTTTGCCTCTTTTTTTGTATCCCCAGGGATTTGCACACAATAAGAGCACTTATTGACTGATTAACTTCGAATTTCCAGGAAGGTGGGATAACCTCAGGTCTAGTACTCTAGGATTTGGTAAGTATACATATGGACACCTCACAGAGAACCCTTTGAAATTTCGTGAAGTTGATATTTCTCTCAGCCCTAACAAAAATTAAAAAAAAAAATTCCTTACCCATTTAGGAGTACCATTAACCCTTTGATCATTTTAGTTGCCCTTCTCTGAACATTCTTCAACTCAATTATGCCTTTAAAAAAATTGAGCACTCAAACTGAAAAAATAAATAAATAAAGTATGCACTGAAATTCTAAACAAAGTCAGGGCATTAGATTCTAATTTGTTTCCAATAACCTTCCGTAATGATATTAGTATTTTGTTCCCTTTTCTGACCACAGCAATATATTATTCTTTCTCCAGAGTGCCTACAAGGGCTTCTAAATCCCTCTTCTGGATGTTAACAGATAGCTTGAAACATGTCATTTATAAAAGAACAGTTTACTTTTCATCAAAATTATCTTCTACTTTTACCTCATCACATCTCATCAGCCACTTTGCTGCCCACTCACACAGTTTCATGATATTTCTTCAGGTTTATGCCTGCTATATTCAGTATTTCTGTCTCAGGAAGAGTTTAGTGTCACTTAATCCTTTAGAAATTCCCCTATATACTTCAAAGTCATTTGAAATTTTTAAAAATCAGATGAGTATCAGTGTCCATTCTCAGAAGACCAAACTATAATTCTGAATAGCATATTCCATGTCTCCATACCTATTTCGGTCTTTGTTTATTCATGACCAAGTGTTCCATTTATCCTGCATGTATCTTGTTTGTATAGAGTTGTTTTATAGTGCCCCCCCATTAGACTGTGAGCTCCTTGAGAATAGGGACTTTTTCTCTTTGTTATTGTTTTTCTTTCATTACATCTCCAGAACTTAGCATAGTGCCTGGCATATAGTAGAAACTTAATAATTACTTGTTGACTTGACTTGACCCTTCTCTGCCCCCTGGCACTATCCTATGGTAACTAAATTTTATCATTTTATTCCACGTTTGGAGGGATATTATCAAAAAACATTTTGAAAGTCTAAATTAATTAGATATATTGATTTTTCCTTATTCAAACTGTCAAAAATCTTATGTGTTTTTAGAATAAATTAGAAACAGCATAACCAACATGTAGAGCCCTCTGTAATCTGGTTCCCACTCACCCTTTCAGGCTTATTTCATATTATTCCTTTTTACACACTCTGTTCTAGCCATACTAGCCTACTGCCACCTATTCCCCAAACGTAACATTCTATCTGACACCTCTCAGCCTTTTCACATTCCTCACACCTGGAATTAACTTCTTCCATCTTTCCAAATTGTTGCAAGTTCAAATAACCAAATTTTATTTCAGTGAGTTACAGATTTATCAGGATTTCATTCCACCCATAGCTAATGATATCCTGGTGACTCTTCTCCAGCATAGGTGAGGACCAAGATGGGATGAATTTCCAATTTGGGCTCAGAATTCACATTGGGCTATAACTTTATCAGCTGAGAAAAAGGTGCTGCAGCCTCCCTTCATAGATAAGTGCTCCACTAATACTGCCATCACCTTGGTACAGGTCCTCCTCACCTCATGCTTGGACTGTTTTAATAGCCTTCTGGTTGGCCTCCCTACCTCAAGTCTCTCACTTCTCCAGTCCATCCTCCATTAAGCTGCCAAGGGATCATCTAAAGCACAAGTCAAACCATGTCACCTCCCAACTTAATCAACTCAATTGTCTCCCTATTACTTCCAGTATCAAATATAAAATTAAAAAAAACCTCTTCCATATTTTCACATCTTACTCCCCTACTCATACTTTATGATCCAGTGAGACTCTGATTTCCTTGCTGTCCATTGAAGAAAATATTCCATCACTCAACTCTGGGAATGTCCTAGTTGTACCCCATGCCTCGAATTATCTTTCTTTATCTCCACCTCCTGGTTTCCCTAGCTTCCTTCAAGTCTCAGCTATAATCCCAAAGAAGCCTTTTCTGTCCCCTACCAATGTTACATTATTAAGATTATCTCCAATTAATTCTGTATAACTCTTTAATGTGCATAATCATTGACGTGTTTTCTCCCTCTTTAGACTGTGAGTTCTTAGAGTCTCTTTTGTTTCCTTTCTTTGTATCCCCAGTACTTGGCCCAGTGCCTG